GTAGCACAACTAGCATATTTCTTAGGAGATTTTACTTCATGTAACTTCATTATCTTAACTTCATTTGCTAATCAAAATCTAATTAAGTTCAATTAATTACATCAATTATACGCATTATCAAATGTCAAAGTTACTATGTTCCATTACTTTGTGAGTATAAGAGTGACATTTTTCGCTCTTGATAAACAGTTGCACGTGAACAATAACCAAACAACGATCTGGGATCTTAAGATGAAGTTTAGCAATAGTTCTTCTCTCGCTGCTTTTTATTGAAATTCAAGGTAAATCAAGGCAAATCTATTACTTTCATAGAACCATACTTGATAAGGATGTAAAATTTCGGTCTGTGCTGTGGTAGGTGAAGGTGGTTGGGTAGATACAACTTCTCCTCCCACGGCATGGGTGCTCATGCCTTTAAGCAGATTACGGAGAATGTTAGCGTAAGCATTAGCTAACAACGTCCTTGAGATTGACTAATCTCAGCCTTTACCAAACGAATTAAATTCTATAGTTCTGGTCCAGAGAAGTTCAATTTATTCAGTAGTTGTTGTTACAGCTGTAAGGAAAAAATTGAGAGAGTACAAATTAGGAATGTCAATATATTCATTAGTTTGTGGTAATTGAACTACATATTGAATATGTAACTTGAACAATAAAAGAGAACATGTAAACAAGTACAAATGCGTTGATATTTCTACATCGAACACAGTTGTTGCCTAAATCTAGTACATTACAGTCATTACATTGAAGACATTGCAGTTATGTAGGAGATTATAAGATCTTTAGCTTAACTGCACTGTGATCAAACATTACCTTTGCTCATTTCGAGTGGCAAAGGAATGAAGAAGATTCTCTGAGTAATGACACTCGAGACTTCTTCAGTTGAGATTTTTCTGGCTGAGTGGCGCTTAAATTATGTAAAATAATTCCAAGTGGATTTAATAGCATCCAAATCCTGTCATTCACTCTACATTTTCCTCAATGAGATTTCCAAGAACATGTAGAACGAATTCTTTCCCACTTTTGCCACTCCATCTCCGCTGTTTATAAATCGTTCATGGAAAAGAAACCATTTTCTCCTATCGGGCTATTTGTCGGTTTGCAAATGATCACCTGAGGTGGGAATCCACCCATATTAGGTGGCATTCTTGTGATACTCTCCCAGTGCTCATCATGACCAATGATGGGCGAGTGAGTGAGAATGATCAATTGGAGAGAAGAGAGCTGGCGAGAGCTCCTATAAAGAGGCGCTATCTTTCACTGATTTTAAATAACTCGAAACTTCCATAATAAAGTGAGAATAAAAAAGATAAATACCTGAATTTTTCGTGTCTATCTGTTTATGTATTTAAGCGGAGTATTTTATATATTTACATATTTTATTTATTTATTTATACATGTATTTTTTCCTACTATTCGAACATTTTGGGTGCCATTTCATCTTTGCCGCCCCAAAACATCCAATGCCCGTGGAGTTGGGCGATGAGCCAGGAGACTCCTTCCCTGACCCGCCTGGCCTCGCTCTCACTCCTCTCCAAATATCCACACAGCACACAAAATACGGTGTAAACGGTGAAGATTCCTCGATGGGGGACTGGTTTTCTCTTTTATTTGGTGAATATCTCTCCCTGCCCTCTTCCCATGCCTTTTCATCGTCTCTCTTGCATCTCCGACCATCGTGGCCCATCTTTCAGAGACATTTTTCCCAAAAAGCAACCTTCCACACATTCTCGCTTGTGGTTTATTTACTCGATCCCTCGCCCTTCCGCTACCTTCTGGTGCCCATCAAAAAACGACTGGAAACGGTGAGAGAAGGAATTTGTTGGGCCAATGAAACAAATATGTTCATGTTCGTCAAATGATAAAAACTAATTTTTATGTCTATTTGATAAGTTTGAGATTTCATGTTGTTAAAGGATTTATTGCTGCGTCACTTCTCGTCTTTTTCCATACCATCAACAAAACTGATCTCTTCTAATGTTCTTTCACTTCCGTTTTCTCTCATCTCTTTTCTTATACTCAGGAGATATACTCAAGTCCCCGAAAGCTCGCCTAAAATCACATCAGAGATTCATAGAATTTGTCTAAACGTCGCCAATGCTAATCATGCGTGATCGTGACATGATGGCTATCATGTCACGCCGCAACAGAAATTCCGCCAATTCTACCTGAAGGAATTTCGCAAAACTGATCAATCGATGATGGCCTCTTGCACCTTCATGGTGTGTGACTTTTGCAACCGGTTTGTGCCTTACGATCACCTTCGCGATCACCAAGTGATTGCAAACAAGGCGATTTTCTCACTTTTTTGCACCCCAACCTTAAATGGGATCACATGAGGGGAGATCGCCCCAAAAAACCTCTTTACATTCCTCACCCATTGATCCCCATTTGCATATCAATCTTGAGCATCGCAACGATCGCTTGGTAAGCTTTCCGTGTTGGGCTCTTTTCTCATGCGGATTCTGAGCAGGGCTGATTTCGTTCATTGAATAAAAGATTGATGACAGCAAAGAACACTTAAATAGGAAGACATTTTTCCTGTGATGTGAGATTCTTGAAATGAACACAGGAAAATAGATGAAATAATATAATTACTTATAATTGGATGTCAAGTAAATTTATTAATAATACTAAGAAGGCAAGACTTTACCAATTTCAATATTTCTTCTGAAAAACAGAATGCAGTATAAGTTTTCACTTTTTAAGCTCGCGAAAGTACTGAAAGAAAAACATATAACTGTCCCGCATAAATAAAAGGCGTGATTGAATGTGAAAAGGATAAAGAGTGTTCTTCTCAACGCACCCGTTTCTCGATTTTAAATCAAACACAGAATGCATAATATAGTGATTCATTGATAAATTATCACTTATCGAGAAATAATGATCGGGAGAAATTAATTTTATTGGCCGCTATTTATCACTGAGTCACAGATTCTCTCTCAACTCTGGGTCTTCTGTCTGTGTCTCTGTGAATTCTCCTCGGAGAGAGAGAGAAGATCTTTGATTTATGGATTATGATGATCGTAAGAAATTTTATTTATTTATTGAGAGACTCGAATAGTGCAACTTCCGTTGATTGCTGGGTGAAGTGGCTCTCTCCCTGCAACACATTTCTTTCTTTCATAAAATTGTTTACATTATTTCCTTGGCTGGTATGCAAAGTATTCGATTTCCTCGCGATCATTACGCGCTAGATCATGAACACTCTGCCTCTGTGATCTATTATTGCCGAGTATGCCAAAGTGGTAATTCAAAACAATACCCACCAGTGACGCATCTCGAGTGTTTCTTCCTATGTCACAAATTAATTGAATATATCGTGGATAGGGAGATGGAGAGGGAAAAAAATGTTAAATAACGCCAACTAATTTGCGTCTCTCGTTCTCCACCTTTTGTTGGTGCTTCTGCTGAAGTCTTGTAACAGAGCTGCCGTTGCTGCCGTCGCTTGTCCATCCACGTACAACATTCTTCGTCGTTTTTCACCTTTCTTGTTCAACACACGCTCCGAGATCTCTTTAACTCCGCCCCGCAAGTCCAATCGTCGTGATCGTCTTCTGACTGACCGAGTGGGGAATTTCTCGCCTGTGCGGTGGTGTGTGTGAGCCTCACTGGGGGGAAAATACATATATACACGCTCTCCCCATCATTGCGAGCTTTCAGAGCTTTCAATCCCAATCGCATTTCTATGTATGTTGGCCATTGAGGGTGATTTTCTCAGCTCATGTTTCTCTGTGTGTCACAATTGTGTATGATTTTCTCAGAAGAGTGCCATCCTTTCAATTTTCCGTTGCATTTCCTGCTGATCGAGCCGGAAAGACGTGGATAAAATCAATTTCACGCAATGTATACGCCATTGAGTGGTGGTGAGAAAAGAGGGAGACTCGGCCGTGGATGTGGTGGTGAGCACACTGTGAGGAGCATAGAGTGAGATGGTGTGCATGTGTGTCCTCCTTCTCCTATTCACGAAAAAAGATTCTCGTGTGTACCTCACTTTTTTCCCATCACGACCATGAACGCATCGGATGGACTTTAGTTTAGTTTTAGGCGCATGACGTGACGGGTTAAAAAGGTGTCAAGCATCAAAATCATATCTTCAAACTTCCATTCAATATTATTGATTTCTCTCTCTTGTCCTACTTAATCGGCTTTTTTGGTTGGTCGATTTTGCGATCTTCTTCTCCCAAGACTTTTTTTTGGCGTTAGGAAGTATTTTGTGTCGCACGGAGACAAGAAAAATCACGTAGAATCTACGACGGGATCAGTGATCGCGAGTGTTGATGGAGAAGGTGTGATCTTGTCACGATCAGTTCCCACGAAATGTGCATCAGAGTGTCGCTGCGAATGGATTAGTTCACGAAAATCACTGCGGAGGATCTTAATGATCCATAAGCAATTTGAGGTGCAAAAAAGAAATGTTTCAGTGTTGTGTCTCTTAATGGATTACCTCGAGGATTTTTGGATTATTCACTCAGCAATCACAACAAATTATCTCAGTTTTGGTGTAGATGATGATAGTAAAAAGTGTTTTATGATTTGTTATATGATGTGAGGTGTGCTTTTTATCGCTCAACAGAGGCCATAACCAAAAAAAGAGTCAATATTCCGAGAGAGTGTAATCCCTCTGTCCATGTGAACAGGAGAGTTAATCCAAAGACAGAAAAAGAAGACGATTGTGAGACCCAATAAATCATACATATGTGGAATTATTTGATTAATTGACGAGAAAATCTTGTGGTGAGCATTTAGACAGACCTTGCGAGAGTGGCAAAAATATTTTATTTGTGGCCAATTAGGTTTCATGCGGGATTAACCGGTGAATCAATCAACCGACGGCAGACATGCAAATGATCGCGATCATTAGTGATCATTGGAAGGATATAAGTGCCTGTGAATTACCCCTGATCGCCGTTTAGCGTGCCTTTTCACACATTCCTACACCGATCAACAAAGCTCACATCCGCTTCACAATGACTTCGATTAGAGTGTCGATCTGCACAATGAGGATCATGGTGCTGGTGATTGTGGTCCACTTGGTGGATGCCTGTGGCCCGGGCCGAGGGATCGGCGGCCAGCGTCGCGGCCGAAAGCTCACACCTCTCGTGTTCAAGGAGCACGTTCCCAACGTGTCGGAAAACACTCTTGGAGCCTCCGGATTGCCCGAGGGCGCGATCACGCGCGACGACGATCGCTTTCGGGACTTGGTGCCAAATTACAATCGCGACATTATCTTTAAGGACGACGAGGGAACAGGAGCTGATCGTCTAATGACCCAGGTACATCCAACTCTCACTCTGTCTAACCTCTCTTTGCCCGCTGACATGGCGCATGGTGGAAACATGCTCAAGACACAAATGATCGCATTGTTCCTTGTGTCTGGCCGGATTGTTCGCATCATTTTCTTGCTAATTAAATGCCATCAACACACAGTCCTGCTAACTCTTCTGTCAACGCTCTCTCACCTCTCGCGCATACATTAATAAAACGTGTGAGTGCACCATAAATGTTCATGGAGCTGTGACACTTATTTAAATTATTAAATGCTATAAATTTTAAATATCATAAATGCACTTCGTGCCGAACATACCAAGTTAGCTGATGTTCGGTGGGCAAAAAATGCAGAAAACATTATCTTTTACCAAATTGTCGCACATTTTTGGCCCGGGTATTCGCGGTTGGCAGAGATAGTGGTGTAAATTATTGCAAAATTTGTCCAGAAAAAAAGCAGCCACGAGATAGTCATCGCGGCAAGATGGGCAGAAAGTGACGAAACTTTATTCTTCAATGTCTGTCGTCTCGTTTTATGGCATCACACTGCCGGTTTCTGCAGTTACTATCAAGTGAATTTTATGATCGTTATATCGAACCTGAAAAGTTTTTCTTAACAAATTTTCTCACAAGATTTTCAGTTCACAATCATGTAATTTTCGTCAATGTGACTGATCAATTTCCGACGGAAGTTATTCCCAGAGATCCTTACATGCAAACAAATATATTCATAATTTTATTATCCTTAAAATGTACACAGAATTCAATTGCACTCTGAGAGTTATTGTTTCGTTAAATAGCCTACTTAAAAATGTTTCGTTCTACATATTTAACGGTCTTTAATAACTGAAGTTTAGTCAAAAGTATAATTCACTGTTTTGTTAGCTTTCACAGCATAAATTCCCAATGATTCTTCAGCTTTTAAGTCCATTGTGGATGATTGTTTTTATAATTTCTTGTATCTCCGCATGCAAAAGTCTACACATTCAATTCCAATGAGATCATTTTCGAGGTCAGTCTTTAATTATACAATTCCGATTAATGGTTATCTTTCCCAACTTGTTGGTTGAGATGATAAAAAAGTATTCATTCATCGAGAGACACAATGGATAGAGTGCGGATTATTCAATAAAGCGACAAGAAGAAAGAGGCACACCATTTAGTTCTTTAATGATACTCGATGGCCTCTAAAAGGTAAACTTTTACGATGAACACTTCACAGTTATAAATCATTCGGATTCTTCTCTGCCATATTGTTAATAATAAATTTACAATATATTGAAATTTGTCGATCATTTCATGTGATAAAAGATCATTTAGCGAAAAACCTATTAATCATACCCACGATCCCAAAAATCTCTCCTTGTCAGTGTATATTTGTCTCGTGAGTGTAAATTAATTTAAAGTTATAAAATGTTTCTTCCTCCACTTTTGTGTGGTGTGATTGTGAATCTTCTTTTGTGGAAGTCTCTGGAGGGAATTCTTGACCATCTCTCACCTTTGGCGAGGCATGATCTTGTATGTATAACGGGGCGAAATACAAATTTTTTCTTTTAGAATCATATTATGTTGGAAATATTTGATCTTTGACTGAAGTTATATGGAGAAATCGGGGAATATTTTATAAGATGGGGCACGATGAGAAGGAGAAAAAATGCCAGAGAAACACCACCAGCACATTTCTCATCATCTTCACTACGATCAACGGCTCTCGATGCAATGATCATCGAGAAATGAGAATAATTGATAGCTTCGGTAATTTCCGCCTACAACAAGAAAATTCCCTCACCCATTCTCCCATCAAAACTGCCTCCACCATCTCACAATAGATCAACTTTGTATGATAGCTGATGATGCTTCAGCGAGCGTCCATCTTCACTCTGCAATTCAGCCGAGAGTTTCTTACTAATTTCACTGCGATTTCCTGCCATTGGACGTGATTAAATATCACTCAATCAGCTCAAGTGTGAATTTTCTTAATTTTTCTCAGTTCCATTGAACTCACAATTGATTTCACAGTTAGATTGATTAGCAAATAAATCGCTAAAACTCGCAAACCTCTTTGTCTTGTTACTCTGTGGAGAAACACAAATTGTTTACAAATTGAATCTTTCGATATCGCTACTGCGACAGTGACAATAAAGGAGAACTTTTTCACATATTAATGCCAGTTTATCGGTCCTGAGAGTGACTCAGAAAATAATATTCCAAGTGGCGCAAATATCGCGATATCCCATGTTTATTTTAATGCGCAGAAATCATGGCAATAATTATTTATTGTTGTATTTCTGTCTTTGCAATTAAACTGGGTGCGTCGTAATTTGATTTCAGTATCACACTAGATAAATAATCATGCCAACTTCTCATCAAAATTGTTGTACTGTCTTCTCAGTGGTCGCGGCAAATGGTCAAAAGGATCGTTTAGAAACTTCTTCGTCTTCCACAAATTATGTAAATAAATTCTCCAAAGGGAGAGAGAAGTGACTCGACTTGGGAAGATGAGAGGATGAAATTGAATAATAAATTTTTAACTCACTCTCCGAGTGTTTGCCATCATTTTACCATGGTTTAAATCTCAACGTTAAGTGTTAGAGAATCATTTGAATAATCGTATGACAAGGGGTTGAGAAATAAATAGACAAGTGTAAGGAAGAATTACTCTCTACATACCATCACCTGAGAAGTGGCTATTGCATAGTGGAAGTGCGACATGTGCACTGGCCGTTGCTATGAAAATTACACAATACGAAAAAAAAACACTATTTTGTGGAAAGAACGAATACTCTTTGATTTCTCAACATAAAATAAGAATTTGTAGCCAAATGTGCTGTAAATCACTGGTATTAATATTTTCCCTTTGCCACTTTCAGAGAGATCATCATAAAATAAACTGTAATCCAATGTCAGCAATTAAAACAAATAAAAAATAACACTCTATAAAATATTCACTGCATCCACCCGCATGTCCAAAAGTCAAAGTGTCAATGTAAGAGTATTAAAACTGATTTTTACACTAAACATCGTCATGAGTATTTCTGAAATTTTACTATCATGGAAGGTCTCATGGTGATGGGATTAATGACAAAGCGGTCTAACAGGTGATTTTGCACCCAGACACTGAAGAATTCCTGGCAAAGTGATCTTCTCCACAACAATATTGACTATAATGATCATAATAAAATTATACCCACAATAAACACAAATTTAGCCAAATGACACTGACGACACAGACAATCTGCAGAGATGATGTTGCGATTTGTGGCCAGCAAAAAGCGCTCTCGTCTAAGGTGCTCCAATGTAAAATGCAAATTTTTATTCATTAATAACTTTAGCCATAAATCTCTGAATTATATTTAAGGAATTTAAGCTTAATATCTTTATGATGTATGATTTTGTTAATTCGAAAATGCACTTTACGCGAGACTATAATAAAAGAATTCTTTCTTATGGTAAAAACAACTTAATTAAATCAGTTTTACAACAAAACTTTACTATATTTTTTTATATATAAAATGTTGACTCGTTTTGAATCGTCTAAGATGTTCCAAGTTCAAGTCTATTTTTTCGGTAGCCTTCAACTTTCTTGAGAAAATCGAGAAAAAATAGAATGAAATGTTTGTAAGTCTATCCGAAATAACCGCTCTCTCTCTCCTCTAATTACCATCAATTTGTCTAGCAGCTAAAATCATATGAATGGACATTAGACAAAGAGAGCATAATGTAATCTCTCCGCCAAAGCCTCTCCGAGCAGATGAAAAGAGTGACAATGTGGCTCCCGGAAGGGTTCTTCAAATTGAATTCACATGTTAACAGAGGGGATTAGGCCACGATGATGTGTGTAGGACGTCGCGATAATGATCAATGGAGTGCTCATGGGAAAGGGAAGTGAGATTGTGCCACTTGCCAGCCATCCCAGTGAAATCGATACATTTCCTGATGGTGCGATAGAGCGGGATTCTCTGTTCAACAATTTGACAAAAATTAATTGTCGAAGAGACAGATTTCATGTAGGAAGTGTGGCTTTCTCGGCAATTCTCCGTGTGGTAGCCAGCAAATCACTTAAACCCATCCTTTATGGTGCTATATTGAAATGCTAATACCGCGCGTACATTTGAGGCATTGTGGACAATCAACAGTCATATTTCACGCAGTGATCATGTTGAAAAATGACGGAAGATGTATTATTTTTCGTAGAAGAGATCGCCTTTTGTCTCCACGCCAGCTCAAATTGGCGTGGGTGGTGGAAGATAAAATGATGATGTTTGATGTTTCCCTCCATGACATGCTTCTACTTTTAAGCTCCGCGGCTGAATTCTCCGGTTCTTTCCCACAATTTCGAAAATATTGTTTTATGATAATTGGACAAATGCACAAATTCACGATTTATTGCTTTTTATGAATTTATAATGGAGTATTGTTGTCTTTTGTCCCTCTCGAGCATTGCAATTCGCATATGGCGAAATTTTCACAAGATCATCTCTCGATCAAACTGCAGCTCTTGAAACTTTCTGACTTCCTCGCATTCATTTCGCACGAAATGCCGGGCCTTATTTGTCGTGCGAGAATTTTTGCATATAAGAGTGGAAAAGTCAGGAAATACTCAAGATAGTGCCTGGTAGAGTGAAATATTCGATATTTCCAAGCCATTCAATGCGTGTCTTTTTCATCTTCCCATTTCGATCGCTGTTGCTAATATTTTGTACAATCGGTTATAACTCATGTTGATGGTACATTTAGAGGTACTCTGTGTATATTTCATACTGACTCTTTTACACACTCTCGCTGGTGTCTTCTTCTCTCCCGGACAGATAGTTTCTATGAAGGCAGATACGGCATCCATTAAGGAATGCTTCTTGTTGGCTTTGCTTGACTTATTGGTGGATTTTATGTAGAAGAGCTCTTTTATTTTCACATCGGAGATTCACATTGTATTTTCCAGTAAAGTACATAGAGTCACGTATGGGCAGGCATTTCTTTTTTGTATAGTCAAGTCTGAGAAATACGTATT